CCTCCAACTGCAGAAACAGTTTCAAAATCCTGTCATACAATTTCCCTTTTTAAACTCACACCAGAAATACGCTAACATAATTGTTCTCCTGTTCCTTCTTTAGAATGTCTGAAGTTACAATAAGATCATGAGAACATATTAAACATCCATTTGTAATTATTATTGCACATGGTTAGGCAGTGTGATTGCAAAGTTCTGGGATGAACAAAACCTGGCATTCCTTGATGCAACACTATCTTTCCATTGTGATCTCATACTTCCTACATTAGAGAGGAGCATATTTTGTATTACACAATCTGATTGTCATGCAGTTCCAGTAAAAGAGGCTGTTTTCTTCATTAGATACATTTCAGAAGCATCACTTCACCAATGCAAAGAGAAGAAGCTAAGCCATAGGGGGGGGAACATTAAAAATAAAATGAAGGGATTGCTTTGGAAGTGGATTGCTTTCTGAATACTGGAGGAAAGGTTTCTGAACTCAGAATCACCTTTACTGTGCAATATCGTTCTGGAGGGAAAAAAACTGATAAGAATCCTGCTTGAGACATGCCATTTTCAGAGACATTCAAAGAGATATGTTTGTACTAAGTTAATAGCTGCTTTGAGTCTCCTTTGTGGAGAGAAAAAATAGGGTATAAATAATAGTAATAATAGTACTAATACGAAGAATAAGAATAATTCAAATGATACAAAGTTTGTGTAACACTTTAAGGACATAATTATTGTTCTCAATAGAAGTAATGGTAAATGTTAACAATTTTCTTGCCACTATAAAATGAAAAGACTCTGTACATCTAAGTAACTGTTCTGCATTCAGGAATCATTACTTTAGTCATTATTATAATATTATTATTAACTCAATAATAACCCTCAATGTTCTTTACTGGGCATCAGTTGCATGGGGAGAAGGGAGTACATTGCATTGGTGATCAGAGCATGAGTGAACGACGTCTCCATTAGGTTTGGGTGAGAAGGTTAAACAGGACAGCTTAATTAGTTAGGTTTACTTAGACAAAGTAGCTGGTTTAGAATACTGCTCATACTTTTTTGAGTGAAATAATTTAGGATAGTGCTGCATCGAAGTGAGTAGTTCCTCAAGAGTGCACAAAAATCAATGGCTATTGGAATATTTATGATTTTCATTACTCTAATTGCCCTCAGGAAACAGACTGAAATGCTTTACTAACAAGAAAGTTTATTCAGTTCTTGCTAGGTGTGAATCTTTTCAACTGACCACCTTGATTACAGTTGAAAAGATTCACACCTAGCCCAACTTACAAAAGCCTTTTGTCTCACCCTGGTCATTCCACAGATATAAAAACCCCTTTTCCCCAGCTCCAGCAGACCTCTGAGGAAGCTTGCCATAGATGCAGGCGAAACGTCAGGAGAAATGCCTCTAGAACATGGCCATATAGCCCGAAAAAACCCACAAGAACTGAGTGATTCCGGCCATGAAAGCCTTCGACAATACAAGAAAGTTTATCTCTACAGGCTTCAGTCCTACAGGTATAGTTAAATCCTGGATGGCAGTTCTGAAAGTGGTGCCTCATGCAATCTGTGTCTTGAAGGAAGTAGACATCCAGTAAGTTAGCAAGTCTTTAGAGAACAGAAGGGCTAAATTAGCATTGTAAAATATGGTACATGTGGGTATTCCAAAGAACATGGCTAAGCTTCATTTGGATCTTCCGTTCAAAAGAACAGTTCATTTAGAAGTATTCCCCACCCCCACCCCCCTTCGTTCACATAATCCTTGGAATTGGGGCAGGGCCAAAACAAATGAAGCAGAGCTCCCATTTGGGAGCCATTTCTCCATCCCCAGTCAGGCTGCGAGATTTATGAGGCTATGGGATACTGTTCCAAGCAAGGAACTGAAGGGCCTTTACTATGAAGCCTTTCTGAACCAGACTGCACTGCTCACTAGAATGTGTGTATATATATACTACAGGGAACAATTCAGCTTTGAGAAGGCCAAGGGGTGCATGACTAAATAGGACTTTTTCATCTCTTGACTCCAGAGATGTGGCTAAATTAATGTGATTTGCCTGGACACAGTTCAATGCATTTGTGTTTACAGCGCAGAGGGAATATTTACAAAAGTCAATGCTCAGATTTTTCAAAATGTTATAAGGGAGACATAGAATTTCACCCTCATTCAAAACTCCTTTGATTATGACTACGATAATGATCCTGCAGCACTCTTTAATGTGGGCTTCAGTTCCATTACCTGGATATAGAGGCTATGAGTAACAGCCACAGGAAACTTGCATCTATAGAATACCACTGTTTTAATCTGCTAAGGAAGAGGCTAAAGTCCTGGATAATAGCATGGTTTCATCATGTCTGGTAACTGTAAACAGTTGGATCCCTGCTAAGGATTCCTGCATTTGCTGAGGCCTAACAATCCTAAATAGCTCACAAGGCTTTTTCTTGCTCCAACACTTGATTTGGAAGAATTGTGCTAGATCAAATCAAACAGACTAAATGGAAGAGATGGGAATAATTTTCAAAAAATAATTGGGAAATAATTAAAGGTATTCTCAAATGTCTGGAAATCCTGTCAAGAAGAATCCTAAAGTGAAGAAAAACTTCACAGTTTGGGATTTTTTTTAATATAGAAATTCACATATGCCTGTTTTGCTCAAAAAACAGTATTTTCTATGCAGGAAATAGAATGTTCTGCAAAAAAATATTGTTTCTGATAATAAAATATTATTTCCTGCACAGCAAATCTTCTTTTCTATACAAAAGTATCCCATGTGAATTTTGTGTTGAACACATCTGAAACTACACATAAACTTTAAAAAATTCAATTTGATAATTAAAAATTTAATGAGATTCTTCCTCTAATTATGCTTGTAATTAGAGGAATTTGCCTTTTCTACCACAACTGTACCTGGTGAAAAAAATTCATTGCATTATCCAATCAAGGGAATAAGATATTTTTTGATCAGCCAAGAGCAGCAGGCAACTACCAGTCTTTGCAGAGTTCTGATACTTGCACAATTTGGGTAGTCCCTGTAGAGTACGGATATTTCTAGATCTTGAGAGTATACAAATGGTGCACATGAGTTGGAGAGTTCAGTTCATACGGCCATATAAAAAGCCTAGAATAAGGAGTTACACCACAAACTAAGGAATTACTACATCATGACAACCCATCGCTGAAATGGCCTCGGGAAATAGAATGGAGAAAAGATGTGACAAAATACTTTGGGAAAAATCACCAGATTGCTGTTCTATATTATCAAAGGCAGAAAGGAAGCACTCATCATTTGATGAGTTAATGAATGTGTGATCCTATGTGAAAGATTTTGAAAACTCAATATTGTAGAGACAGAGAAAGTTTGGCAGGGTAACCAAACTAATCAAGGCTCTTATACTGTACTAAGGAAAGGATCCAAATGGATTTGACAGAAGTCAATCTTTAAGTAAGACCAGTGAGAGATGGGATCCTGTTCTTGTTTATCTCTTCTGGGTGTCACTTGAGCTAGTTGTTGCTTCGTTGGGAAGTTCCAGAGCTCAATCCTACTTAAAAATCATTGTCTCTGACATGGGGAGCCTATGCAGAAAAGAAGACTGAGATCACCAACTTTATGTTGGATGGATTTTGTAACCCCTTTTTATTAGATATATTAATTAGAGTCACACTCTAATAAACATGTCTAATAAAAAGGCCTCCCAAAATGTGAATTCTACACACTTTTAACTATTGCTCCTTCTGTTTAGTGGCATTTAGTATCTCCCATGTCATTGCGATGCTGAATCCAGATTGAAATGTGATCTTTAAGTTGCTCTATAAAATTCTGAACCTTCTTCCTAAATAGATTCAGCACTCTGGATAACTCCTTTCATCATAGTGAAAATTTGGTATTGATTTATCTCTCCTTCCAGTAGTAGGATCCTCACATAATAGTACAGATGGAACAAGTGACCCTCCTCTCCTTAGCAACTCAAACACAAAAACCAGGTTTCAGGACAAAAACAATCACTTAATTTTATATGACTCTCCAACTTCCATCACCTCTGGAAAGAGAATAGTGAACAAATTGTGATAGCAAGTACAGTATATATTTGTGAAGTTGTAAGAAAGTAATGCAAAGTTTGCTCCAACACCGAAGAAAACAGATCTTTTTTCAGTTTCTGCCACAGCTAGCTCTGACCTGACCAACTACTAGGAGAGTTACTCTCCCAAACCATCTGACACTGGAAACTTTCCTCTACAGAAAAAAAGGCTGCTGAGCAACAACCACAGCAAATTGATACTCATCTTACCATTTCACTGGCCACCTCTAATTCCCTCTTAATTTATGACATGAAGTTCGATGGTGATGGTACTGGTGATGATGATGACAATGATTTCTATCCTGATCTTTTTCCCAGGTTGAAGCTTAAAGCAGTTCCCAACAATTACAGAAAACACCAACAGAAATGCACAAGATGTAAAGTTCTAAAAATATTAAACAAGTAAAATAATATGATCCATGGGTAAACAGAGGCATTCAGTTTACCAGCAAGACTGGCGAATTAATATATCAAAAGCCATGGAAGAAAGTCAGAAAGGATAGCCTTGGCACCATTAGAAAACTTTTAGGGATTTGTTCCTTGTATGGCCTTGATATAATTAATCATGAATGCATACAAGACTTGGCATAATGGATAGGGTATGTACACTGAATTTAAGCACATGCACACATACACACCATGCTATTCATCTATGTATGTAGTACACAGTGTAAGATATAAATAACCACATTCTTATATGGAAATAATATAACTTGAACATTTTACACAAATTTTCAAAAAATATTTTACAGAAAGAAATGTTAAATGCAAAAACTTTTAAAAACACACTCGATCAAGATGGTTAAATACACATGTTAGTAAAGGCAGCTACCCCTTTAGCTCTAAATAAATGCTTAAATGACTATCTGCAGAATAACTTGAATCCAGCCTACCTATTAAAGTAAAATACATCTAATAAAACATGACTCATTACTCACCTCATCAACCTGAGGTTCTTGAGCTTGGGGAGCATTGGGCACAGGGGAATCACAGTCTGGGCTATAATGCTCACAATAGTCGTAAGCTGCTCTAGGATCTCCAATGATCAACAGCTGCTGGATATCACCCTGCCGGGAAACATAAGAAGATTGTAAATCAGCCACCATTACATTCATGGGGGGGTAATGAATAAGAGTCCTTCTGGAGGGAACAACCTTGGTTAAGTGAGATCAAACAGAGATTTAATTATTCTGTAGCACCCATTAATTTATCAGCACAATTTATATTTGTCTATTATGGCTGTGTTTCATCAGGCTGTTTTAATGACTTTGTTGTGTACAAACAGGTGATTTAGTGAGAGGTGAAGTCATTTTGTAGCAAGAGCCAAAATTTTAAGTCCTTGTGTGCAAATTGGTTGCATGATTAAGATATGGGCTGCAATTATCCTCTTGTGATCTACGAGGTAATAACAATGCCATCTCTATATTATCAAACAACCAGGGTGAGCAGAGACAAATTTGCGATGGCTGTCTCTGAGGATGCAAACAGCTCAGAATCAAAACAGTCAGTATCTGTTAAAACATTAAACTATAATATAAATGGAAGAGTGGTAGCACTCTTAAATTGCATGTGTCTGTGTAGGGAGGGGATTTTTAAAATATTATATATGCTACCATATATAATATTTTAAAAATCCCCTCCATACACAGACACACACAATTTAAGAATATCCATTTTTAAGTGTCTTCATTTAATGAGGCAACAGAATAACTATTTAATTCCCTCTGCTCAAAAAGGAATTCTGTCACAAAAAGAGAGCTTATATCTGCATTCAATTTGTATATGATTTTAAAATACACACAGAGATATAAATACGCATATACATATAAAACAAACATACAGACTCTTGAAAATGATCAGATATACTGAACAACATGCTTGAAGTGGACAACTTCTCTAGTTAACAGGTGGCCAGTTTCCATCACAACAGGACAGCATCCACAGAAAATGATATACAGACAATCCCCAAGTTACAAATAACTTGTTTACATGTGACTCATAGTTAAGAATGGGGTGTGACAGCAGAAAGTGATAGAAATCTATCCCTACAATGGGAAATCCACTCCTGAATGCATTATCATAGGTGAAAGATGTTACAACTGAATCTTGGTTTCCACAACAAGCTACATTTTTTCAAAATCCAATTGTCATAGGTACAGAAAATGAGGTGAAATGAACAGGGACACAGACAGCAAAACAAACACCACTGGAGTGTTCGCCCTTCCCTATGTTATTCAAAGCATCTGTCTGTCTGTTTGCCTGTCTATTTATATATTTATCTATCTATCTATCTATCTATCTATCTATCTATCTATCTATCTATCTATCTATCTATCTATCTATCTATCTGTGGCTGAAGTTACACTTAAAAATGTACCTGCTCCGACTTACATGTAAATTCAGCTTATGAACAAATCGAAAGAACATATTTTGTTCGTAACTTAGGGTCTGCATGTACCATTGCATTAACGTAACTGTTTCAATTCATATCTACCGCCCTTGAAATAAATAAGGCTTAAAGAACTGGATAACACAGAGAGATACACACACAAGTAATGATCAGCCCATAATGAACCAAATCACAGTATCTTTTAAAAATTTAATTAACTAATTATAATGCTATCCTTCCTTCTTATTAGAATCCACAGGTCTTAAACAGGCTTACTTTGAATGGATCATGAGCCTTTTACTAATAGCACATTTCAAATAACAATAACACATTATAGTATAAATATGAAAGAGACATAAAAATCAAAAGCTCCTAACATGTAAGGAGATATGGCCATAATATGCTAAACCACCTACAGGCTAACTCCACACAGATTCTTTTAAAATTCTAGAAGATACAAATCTATGCTAGACTGCATTCTGTATCTCAATTAAGTTTGATGGCTTTGCCAGTTTTGTACATCTAGATCTGACTCACCTATAACAGTAAGCCTGGTTTAATATGAAGCAGCAGACTATTTATGTCCTCTTTCCAACTGCTCCCATTTTTAGCAAGAAGGTCTAAACAAATCATAGGCCATGAACCCTTGGTTTATTCAGTGATATATTGTTACATGTTAATGAAAAACCAACAACACCGAAAAAGGAAGAAAAACAATCAAACAAAAACTAAAGAAACACACAGAGAATAGATCTTACTTCCTGTTAAAGCTTGGTCTTTTGGGGCAGAACAAACCAGAGCTAGTTGATTCGAGGGGCACATCTACATTGACTATGGGTGGTTCCAGACAGCAGTTAAACTCAGGAATAACTGCATTTTAAAAATGCAAATGTTCCCGGGTTCTAGGCCACACATGCCCCGGAAGCGCGTGCTTTCTAGGGCGGGTGTCCAGATGCCCTCCCGAATCCTTTCAGGAGGACAAGGAGACAGCCCCCACCCCTTCCCAAAACCCCTTAATAATGGAGAAAAAAGTAAAAAATAACTTACCGGCCACCATTAGGCCTTGAAACATAATTCCTGGAATGTATCAATGACACTAAGGAACTCGCATGTAATAGTACATTCCAGGAACTGTGCTGTGACGCCTAATGGAGACAGGGTAAACTCTTAGTAATTTTTAGGGCTTTTATTGGTGGGAGGTTGGAAAAGGGGGGTGGATATCACACCTTCTGGACTCCAGGGCAGGCCCCAGGGAAGTTCTAGAACTCCCCGTGGGCCTGTCCATATAGGCCCTTTAGTCCATCAGACCCGGGTCTTTCAAAAAGGGGAAATCTGAATCCTGAGGAAGGATTAAATTGTCCTCCAAGTTACATCAGTCAAAACAGCTAGACTAGTTCCTAAGTGGCAGCTGTCTTAACAAATTGACCTGCTCACTAACATTAACAATAGTTCAACTTGTCCTCTCCTATATATTTGTTCTAAAGCAAATGTAGTTGCTTATTTATTTTTTTTGTTTTAAACAGAAGCTCTAGTGGTCTTTTAATTATCAAGTTAAAGTACACAATCTGTGATGTACAATTACATCCTATGGTATCCAACATCATGCCCCATCACAGTTACATTATACCTTCTGAATCAGTTTGTCATGCGTTAGTCTGGAGAGAATTAAATGTATAGGCCCAGAGAGTTAATCCAGGTTCTGAACAAAGAGTCTTAATTTTACAATGTCTCCATCCTCTATCCCAGATATGGGCAAACTTTGTCCCTCTAGGTGTTTTGGACTTTAACTCCCACAATTCCTAACAGCTGGTAGGCTGACTGGGATTTCTGGAAGTTGACACCCAAAACACCTGAAGGGTTGAAGTTTGCCCATGCCTGATCTATGCACTATCTAGCTGGTATTTTTGTGCAGCATTAGCATAGGCTGCTGGTAAAGGAAGGCTGGAGAAACACTGATATTCTGCGTCACTTTGAGGAACACATTCCTTCCATGAGCATGTAGGGTGGTCACATTCAAAGAAGGTACTGCATGAAAGCAACCCAAGCTATTTTGCACTTAATTTATACAAAAACCCTAAATACTTACAGCCTTATCAGATGGGGCAAAATAAGCATCCTGGACACTTCAGCCCCAGTTCACCCATGAGGCCCCACACCATCCATCATATGACACGAACACAAACACAGCCCTATGTTTAGTAAGGAACAACAGGGTTGCTCCTGCTTTCCCAGGTGTCAGCTGCCAATTGGGGTGCAAAGATTGCCCTGCTGCTGCCCTGATTTGCCAGGGAAGGTGGTGAATCACAGAGCTGACAAGGCTGCATATAATGAGGTTCCTAGTTAACACATGCCATTGCTGGTGCAGGTACACAATTGTGGACAGCAGTCATGATTTTCACCCACTTTCAACTTCTCACAGAGAAGCTAAGTCAAAGACTGATGTTTTCTCTCTCTCCTAAACCACTCACTATGACACCAGTGCAGCAATGAAGAAATCAGCTCGCATGTTTTTATTATGATTTGTTCTGCATTTAATCCTCTTGCTAATCGAGCGCATAGAAAACTAATGTTTTAATCTTATTTTACTTACACTGCTGCAACTGACTCACAGTTATCTCCATTACCCTTCCCTTTCCCCCTATTCAGATGTTTTATAATCTAATAACCATCCAGAAGCAACAGACAGTACTTTAAAGTCACGCATAGGATTCCTTGACTTTAATTACATTTGCTTATGAATATGCACTTTGGCTGTTCAGAAATGATGACTTTAACATAATCAGTCTTCCACCTGACTCCCTCTGCCCAGCCCCTTATCCACATTCATAGATAGTTCCATAAAGGCACATGAAATCAACTGGAAAAGCTACAAGCCTCTGCTTGAACATTTCAGCTTCTTTAGACTGAAGATGTGCATCTGTTTCTGGAGGGAATGTGTGCACATAGAGGTGGGGGAATTCTCTTTCTTTTTGTGCGGTCAGTATTTCTAATCACCGGGAACTCACCTACATTCCTAAGATCTAATTCAGGATGATTAGCTTTCCTAGCATTTAAATTGACAAGTCAAGTATATTATCCCTATCAGTAGGTTCAGACATGGTGGTTCATCCCATTGTGACATTAGGAAGATTCACTTATAGCCACCACAAACAGAAAGGATGCCTCTGATGCATGAAGAATCACAACACTATGAATATTTATTTATTTACTTTGCTTATATACCGCTGTATCTCAAGCCCGAAGGCGACTCACAGCGGTTCACAAACAGTAAAAACAGTAGAAACAGCAGTGGTTCCATACAACATATAACAATTGACTTAACACATTATCCATAAATTACCAATAAGCAATTACAATGCACAATTATTATGAAAAACAACTGTACCCAATCTTCTCATCATCCAAGCGTAGTCCAGGTTCGTCGTCCATTGTTCCATTCCTATATTCCATTACCAGATTGCACTAAATTACTCAAACGCCTGCACAAACATCCAGGTCTTCACCTTTTTGCGGAATACCATTAGAGATGGTGCTAGTCTAATGAATATGACCCCAAAACCCAGGTCCTCCAAAATCTATTTTAAAATAATGTTTTTGCATGTGTTTATTCTATTGTATTTAAATACTGATATCTCTCCTGAAATCGAAGGTGAAATATGTGTAACTAAGGGCACATCC